AAATTCCAGTGAAATATATTTATGTTTGTGGTTGTAATGTGACAAAATATGGAAAAGTTCAAGGGGTATGAATACTTTTGCAAACCACTGTATCTGTCTGTAGTAAAACTTAAAGTTTTAGCTTTTCATAATCCTCAGTATTCATTATTCCTTTTTTATTTTGTTTTGTAATGTTTGTTTTTTCTTTCAGGAATTCAGAATCGGTGACGTATTTCTGGCAGAACTGGAACATCCCGGTCCACAAGTGGTGTCTACGGTGAATCATCCACACGTCCACTCAGTCGGGCTGTAATGGATTTGATGCAGTGAGGCAGATACAACAAGCCTCACTGATTTATTTAAGAAAACTGATTCATCCAGCTGTGACTGAATAAGTGGTGTCACTACACAAAGCCGTTTGAAACACACGCAGCATACGTTAATATTGAATAGCGATAACTTGCAGCTTTCACAGGGTTAAATGTGGGATTTACAATAAGCGAAGAAAGCTAGCATTAGCTTATTCTGATGCTAGTTTGTATCCTTGTGATACCACAACGGCTCTGTCATTAGCACTTCATAATAAGCTAGCGTTAGCTTATCCTCATGCTCGTTTGTGTCTTTGAGGCAGCACGACAGCTCTTTGGTTTCACTGATAAGCTAACATTAGCTTATCCTAATGAGCTAGTTTGTATCTTTGTGGCAGCATGATGGACTATTTCACGGATACCGTTTAGCGCCGCCTACTGGAAGTGGCGCGCAATGGTTTGTGGGATTGTTTGGGGGCAAACAAAAGAAAAGTAAATGATGAGACAGGTTATAAAAGTCATTTGTATTTATTATATCTTAAACGTAATTTCACTTGGCATTAAAAAGTCTTAAATTTAACTTGGCTTAAACTGTAGGAACCCTGTTTAACAGTGGTAAATACATTTGTTACTGTGATCTGTAGATTTCTGTATGGTGTATGTTATTGTTAATAAATAAACCGTACACCATTATATGGTCAAGCTTTTTAGATAGTCCATTCCTATATTTGTAATATTAAGTGGTCAAAATGATCCGTAGTCAGGAAATGTGATATGCGCCCAGATCGCTGTAAACCACGTCAACATTTTTAGCACAAGATCTACGACAATCTTGTGTTTTCATTATTCTAAATAGCTAAACTTGTTTTCATGTATCTGTGATCATTGTTGCACATATACACAGGTAAAACAGCACACTGACTGCCCATTTTCAGTCATTTAATTCACACACTGGCACTGGATGCCTCCAAACTGGACCATGATGCTTCGCTCTAGGCAAAGATGGCGCTATCTGCAAAATAGTTCGGTTAGCACTTGATGACTCACAGGTCCTGAGTTCGATCCTCAGTTCAGGTCCGGGGTCTCCTCGTGCTTGCGTGGGGTTTCTCTGGGTGCTCCAGTTTCCTCCCACAAACCAAAAATAAGCATGTAAGGTTGCATTTAGGTCCTGACCTCCCTTGCAAAAGAGATCTGGGATCTGAATGGGTTAAATAAAGCAGAGAGAGCGCCACTTTGAGGGCCTCAAAAGAACAACAGTTTTTAACTTTGGGCCGCAGAGGGCCGTGGGACAACATTGATTTTGAAAAGGGTGCAATACACTTTCTCACCACTAGTAGCAATAGTGCGCCTTTCAGTTGTTTAACAACTTTTTTATTATGTAGAAGAACCTTAGAAACCTGCCGACTGCCGAGAATGGAAACTTGTTTTAAATGAAAAGTAGAAGCAAAAATGAAAGTAACTCATCAAAAAACACCAAAGTTTGTCACTAATATGAAGAGCAGCTTCTGTTTTTACCATG